AAACGGTCTCGAAATAGAAACTGTTATATCAGCCTTTTGTAAGAATGATACTTACATATTTTCCACAGCATCGATACGAATTTCGTTACATCAACGGGGCGAATTCCAACGCTTTTTTGCAAATGTGAAGAATGTGGTTTCTTATGAGAAAACATTACAGGCAACATACTTCACATTCGCAAAGAATGTTACATTCGCAAGAAATAAAAGGAAAGTCAATAATGGAATTTGACTACAAGAGACTAATTAAATGAGTTTAGTTAGTAGAGGTTTTTAGAATTGACATATAACATAGTTACGAATGTAATCGAAAAATTCATATGACGTTAAATTTCTTTTGCTTTATATGGGTTTAAATAAAAATCAAGTTTCGATAGCGAGCGATCACTGTACCAGAGAAGACAAAGAGGCGAATTACAAAGTAAAATGCAAACATCAATTAGGTATTTCTTACTAATTTCTATTGATTCACATAGACAGAAAATATGCCTAAATAGTTCCGGGCCTGTCTTGTGCTGATAACAATGCCAAAGCTGCATTAAGAATTGCTCTACATGCATAATCAGCATTATTAGCACAGATAATAAGATAACCCATTTATGTATATATTTTATCAGTTATAAAACAGTCGCATCCATGTCATGAACAGTTAACAGTTAAACGCCGCGCTTCCGCCGTGCTGTGCTGCTCTTATCAGCGCACCGCTATCAGCGCGGGCAGTTAATGTGTATAAGAAATTACGTGGAGATAACCAATTACAGTCGTACTCTGCGCGTAGACCGTAGACTCCAACAAAGAAAAATCACACTTACGCAAAATGTTGCTGCCCACAATTGTTATCGATAATCGAAGCGATATATATATAAATGTATCGATGCCTGCATAAGCGACTCGTTTTGTGGCGAAACTCCCAACTCGATTCTATAAATGAAATTACTGTAATTGTATTGCAAACATTCACGCGCATTACCCCTCCCCTACCCTGCCCAACTCATCCCACCTCACCTCCCCACTTTCTAGCTGGCATGGGTCGGCCCAGTTCTCAGCCCAAAAGCTGCTCGGGCTGAGTGTGACATTGAGCAAGTAGCTTCGCAATAGCCTTGGACAATGGGTGCGAGCGGGACGGCAAGTTCTCTTTGTGCTGCCAGCGTCAGCTGCAACGTCGCTGCCAGCAGTCGGTGCCAAGGCTCTTTGGCAATTGTTTGTTTTTGTTCTTTTCGCTTAACTCTTGTGCTAACTGCGGCTGCTGCTGCGACGGCGGCGGCGCTGCCGTCGGCGGCGGGGGGTTATCGCTGAGAGAGCATGCGAACCGAACAGCAGAGAGCAAAGAATGAGCAATTGCATTAGTTTAACTGTTTAGTTTTTACAGCTTTAATAATCATCCCTTTTCTCCACCTTTATGCTAATCTGTGGCTTGGCGTGGCATCGGCTGAGATATGCTTATTATGTTATATATAACTTAAACCTTCTCTTCTTTCTATTTACAGTATTTCACTGGCAAGCTACAATAATGGGCCCGGTAAGCTGACAACTCTGCATCTCTCTTTGGTTTACAATTGAGAGTTTGTGATGTTGGTTTGGTTCAGAGAGTGCTAGACAACCTTCTCTTTAGAGGATCTTTTAAGACAGTATCGATACCGAAGCGATACATACCGTTATTCAACTGCGTAGAGTCTGTTTCAAGCAGTTGAAATCACTCCCAACGTTTTAGTATCTAATGTAGTTATTCGTTGAGCAACATAATTTTCCTAGCTAAATTGGGCAAATTTAGCTTTATAGTACAAAAAATACAGTAAGATACTTTATGGATTGCTAAAGCCTAAAGTCCTAGCTCAAACTAAATGTATTAGTGTAGTCTGTGTAGTCTGAAGCTATTGCGGGTTTTTTCTTAAGTTTAGAGGCGCATTGAATGGCTTTTTAACTTACTCAGTTTAAGATCAGCATAGATAAATGTCGAGATAAAATATGGAACTGTTTTCAGACATTGCTTTCGTAAAGTCTCTGTGAAAGATTCTTTCTGGTATCGATAAAAGATAATGTTCAAAGTATTTGAGAGGCAACTCGAACTTATCCAACTCCAAGTTCCAAGCCAACAATTGTTTGTCTTTTATTTTGATATATTCCAATACTAATTAGTGTTAATTTTTGTTTTAAACATATTCACAGCCGGACAGCCCTTACCAAGGAGGTGTATTTTTCTTAACTATACATTTTCCAACAGACTATCCTTTTAAGCCACCGAAAGTGGCCTTTACAACACGCATATACCATCCAAACATTAACAGCAATGGATCTATTTGCCTCGATATATTAAGATCTCAGTGGTCGCCAGCATTAACTATTTCAAAAGGTAAGCGAAATCGCTTTAGATATATATGTATATATGTATGTGGATTTGTTAACATGTTTTGTTTTTCTCTTTCGATTGCAGTCTTATTATCAATTTGCTCTCTACTCTGTGATCCCAATCCAGATGATCCGCTTGTTCCAGAGATTGCCAGAATATATAAAACCGATCGGGAAAAATACAATGAGCTGGCACGGGAGTGGACTAGAAAGTATGCTATGTGATGCGTTCCAGATTGCAGCAACAACAGTCCAACAATAACAACAGCAACAACAACAACAACAAAAACAACATCAGCAACAACAATAACAAAATTAGCAACAGCAAATAAAACATCAACAACAGCAACAGCAGACACAACAGCAACAACAGCAAAAACAACAACAGCAACAAAGATAACATTTAACAATAGTTACAACAGCTGCACACTCCCCGGCAACAGCTTCAGCTCCAGCTCCAGCTCCAGCTCCAGCTCTAGCTCTAATAAGAACGCCAACAACAATATCAAAAGGAGCTGCGGCTGCAGCAGCAACAGCAACAACAACAGCAACAAGAACAGTAACAGCAACAACAACAACAGCAGCAGCAGCAGCAACGAGTGGAACGGAGGCAAAGTACCAACAGCAACAATAACAGCAGCAGCAACAGTAACAGTAACAGCAACCGTAACAGTAACAGTTACTGCTAACAGCAACTGTCAAATTGCCGCCATCAAGTTTATTTGGCCGAGAAAACCGCAGTAGCAGCAGCAGCAGCAGCAGCAGCAGCAGCAGTAGCAGCAGCAGCAGCATGATGAGAAAATAATTTAATAATAATTACTGAAAACAAAAAGAATTATGTAAGCATAAACATTTAAAGCGAGAAAGCTACCAACAACACAGCATCCCACACATAATAAGTTTAAAAACAAAACTACAAATAAAGATCAGCTGGAAAATTATTATTATTATTATATTATATTTAAAGAACCGGAAAAATAAAAATTACAAAAATTCAATTCTCTATCACGATATCGATATCGATTGTATCGATTATATTGAAAATGATATTCCCTTTTGTCCTACGTCCTCCTACACTTGAAGAAATACCAAACGCTCCATCTATTATATCTATAAATCAAATGAAATTACAATTGTAGTACTTTTTGCGATAAGAACAATGACGTTTTCTCGATATAAGATTGAATTTAACGATTTTGGTTCTTGAAAAGGCAACACTGTGGAAAAGAGAGCTGCACAAGTTTTTTATTAAGTAGGGCTTTAATGAAATATTAAATAATTACAATTCGCATGGGATGTAAATCAAACTTAATACCACTGACTACTTTTGTTAAGAACTCTATATCCCACATAGAAACAACTTTAAAGACGTATACATAATTCCAATCACTAATTAGAGAAGCTTATAGATCCGTTTCTTAATATTGCGAAAACAATCCAAAATTTATAATGTTCCACTCGACTTTGTTTCTATTCATAAGCTGAGCTCGTTTAATTTACTATGCTTAAGCGAGCTATATTAAATTACAATAGCGAAACCCGATGTATGATATAATATTCTGATATTAAGTCACTTAAATATTTCTTATATCTAACTCAATTTCCGACGGAATGCTTAAAATTGAATGTACTTATGTACGTATGTGTTCCGAAATACGTTTTGTTCCTAAAGTAGAAAAATCTATAAAGTAGCTTGATGGGATTTCTTTAGATACATTTAAAGGGAAAAACTTCTCAACATTTTGAAACTGAAATTGTGACTGATTATTCCGATTAATATTCCGATAAGAATATGATTTGGATCGTTAATTATGGAAGAACTCCATCAACATATCTATATAGAAATGTTTATATTCGAAGTTTCATCAGGATACAGGAAGAATCCAGATCATCTAACTTTGGTCGTTCCGATCTGCAATATATATATACATTGTGTGATTAGAAATCTGTAATTAGGCATGTTACACATTTCGTATCGTATAATATACTAGAAAGTATACGAATCGGTCAATGTGAAGGGCATAGGAATTTGCGCCCTGTACGAATGTGTACGGCAGCCACTGTAAATAATCTGAAAGGACGGTCATTGGGCATAAAAGAAATTTGATCAATGGCTTAACATACGCACAAAAAATACACACATACACTGAAAACAGAGACACGCATGAGGAATGTATGCTCTTTCAGAAGCTGGCAACAGCTACAGCATGTTAAATAAACATTTAATCAATTCTGAGACTCAATTAATAAACAGCGCTGTACGTCGAAGCCAAAGTTGACGTTGACTGCGCTGCGCTGCGCCGCACTTTTGTGAAGCTTTTTTGTCGGCTTTACCGATTCACGATAAAGCCATATAAATATGTATACATATATAGGAAGGTGAGCGCAAATTGTCGCTCCCTCTGAACATTGTGTCACAGCATTTGTGAATTCAACTGCCAGCAAAGCTTAAGATTGTGACGTCACGTTTAGGACTCTCCCACGAACGAAACGCGGAACTGTGCAAATGCGCGCTCTGCAGACCTTGCCAACGATCAGAGCGCCTTTCGCAACTCTCTCTTCACGTTACTCTCCACATCGCTCACCGCGTTCGACCGGTGTTCGTGTTAGTGTGCGTTGCTTGGGGCCCAATCTTTGGCAAGTTGCCCGCCTCAGTCGCTGCAGTCTTCAGTTGACTTTCAGCTGTCTCGCGAGTCGCTCGTGCGTGTGTCGCCAAGTGAAATTTCTTGTTCTGTTTGGGCGACTTGAACAGAAAGTATGTACATACATCCATAAATATGTGCTCACATGCTGAATGCAGATGTACACATGTATGTGTGTATGTAAATACGTACATACATACATATGTATATGCAATTAAATGTGCATAAATCAATATCAATTGAAGTTCGCCAAGTGTTAGAAAGAAAACAAAAAAAAAAATTAAAGTAGATTTTAAATAAATTTAACGTTGATTGCCTTCGCACGTGCATTAAAAGGCCAAAGCCAGACAACAAAAGTATATTTACATAAAATTTGGTTATGCAAACAGTTCCAATAAGAAGAGAAATTTATGTTAGTCTCTGCTCACGTGTATTTATAATCTATTTATATGTATATGTATCTATTGGCGTAAATATGTGCATATATTTCTATATGCATACTTAGATATGCATTATTGCATTTGTAAGAATTGCGTTTTAGAAATTTTCGGGTTCTCATTAAACTGCAGCTCAGAGGGCGGCGATCGGGTTCAATATTGTAATGCGCCTCACTTGACAACACGGGCACGCACACACACACACACACACACACACACACACACACACACACACAAGCACGCACGCGCACACACACACACGCGCACACAAACGTTTAGCTCTTCGATTCCCGAAACATCAGTTGCCAGATTTTTTGTTTAGAGACCTGCCTCGATTTTCACACTATTCCGCGAATGGCGACAGAGACGCAGCCGGTCTCAGGCCAGCTTTGTTAAGCTTAAAAATAACTTATAAAGTATGCATGTATATTTAATCTGCCTCTTACCTGTTAGCCTGAAACAAGATGAGTCCACGCCCACACGAGAGCCTGGCGGCAGCACAAATTCTGTCCGATCTGGAGCTGAGCAGCGCAACAACATCGTGCTATAATCGCAAAGTGTTAAAGGATGATGATAACTGGGTGAGTAGCCAGCGCACTGATAAGAAATTACAACAACAAAAGACCGTGCAGCACGTGTACTGCGAATTGAATACCAAAGCGAGATGTTCACGGAGAGAGCTCAACTTGCACACACACACACACACACATACACACGCGCGCGAGTTGAGCTTCCAAATGGAGTCAAGGTCAATAATGGGTGTCTGTTGCCGATCATTGTGCGCTTACATAATGCACATACCTGCACATATACATATATACATACATATTTACATGCTTGCCTATGTATGTGTGTATTTATGTACTTTTGTCTCGAAGGGCATTGCGAAAGTTTCATTCGCGCAGATTTCCTCAAGTTCAGTCGAACTTGAAACTGGTTTTGGGTTTTTGTTTATGTTGCACCAAGAAAACAAAATAACAACAACATGAAGAAGAAGCAGCCATGCATTTGTGTCATGTCGCATAAGCTTGTAGGCTTACGCACTTGTTGCTATTTGGTTATATAATTGGGAGGAGGAGGCTGGAACAAAAAAATGAAAAAAAACTTACACAACAAATAAACGCCAAAGCCGGCTTAACGAAAGTTCGCATAACTCTCAATTCAAAGCGTTGCTCAAGCTTACACGCTTGCTCTCTCTCTCGCTCTCTCGCTCTCTCTGTTTCTCCCGCTCTCTCGCACCTTATGGGCTGTAACGTCGCGCGTTGAGCTTTCGCGCAAAGCTTTTTTTTTTTTGGATAACTTGGTATGCAGTGCATTTGGTTGGTTTTAGTTTCGTTCAAGTTATTGAACGAAACAGTTGATAAAAGTTTGCAGTTCAAAACCAAACGATAAACAGTTTCGAAATTTAAACTATAAACTATGCATATTGCATATGTATAGCAACAAATATCAAAATCAAATACAAAAGCAAAACGTTAGCCACACTTAAAACCATTTACAACGAGTGATTGAATATGGAAACCACAGTTATAACAACCACAACAACAACCACAACAGAACTGAAACGCAATGGGCGCAGCAGCAACATAAAGAAAAATGTAAGATACTACATATAGCCACATCCAAGTTTGTACAGATACCCATTAAAGCCCTAGTGCTCAGACTCAGCAAACATTACGAAACTAAGTACGTCAATGTCTAAATTGAAAGCGCATCCTGTTTATCGATGACTCGCTATTCGAATCTGTTTGCTCGGTCAACAATGCAAATGCATTGATTTTTAGCTTTAATTTGTTTTTTTTTTTCGCAATTTGTATTTTATTTACTTTATGTTGTTCATGCTTAAATATCTGATAATGCACTTTGCAAAGCTACTCAATCAGCTGCTGGCTGTGCTTACCTGGAAAACAGGCGTCAGGGCAGACGCTCAACAAAATGTTAGTAAAATCATTTAGCCAGAAATAACGTATATATATATATATATATATATTTGTATGTGGGTAAATATTGAAACTTGATGTGATGTTGGGGCTCGAGTGTTAATTTAGCTGGAAGCGCTGTAAATTTAACAGTTGGTTTAGTTTTTCGGCAACAGAATTGAATTATTTTACTAGAACAAAATACAAAAGTAATAAAAAATAGCACGAGTTTCCCTAGTTTGCCTTAAAAGTGAGCCTCTGCAATTTAACAGCTGCGTGTGTGTGTGTGCTAACATTTCTCATTGGGTGTCGTTTCTTAACAGTTAACAGGCTCGTGCCGTCTCAGCTTACGCATAAACAAGTGCAAAAAGCTTTTGAAAGCATTTCGAGAATGCAAAAGCCACATTTGTAAATGTAAACAAAACGTCATCAACCTGTTACAGCGCATTCACACACACACGCGCACGCACACAAATGTGCCGAGAAAAGCACACACACACACACGCACACACACACACACACGCACGTGCACATGCAGCTGTTGTTTGTTGTTGTTGTTTTATTTGCATTGCATTGGAAACTGGATAAACTAATGAAAGAGTCAAGCCCCCACTTTATTTTGTTATTGTGCATCTATTTATGGGGCTCGTCGCAGTTGTTGTTTTGTTTTTTTGTCGTAATTGCAACTATTTTAGAAGAATTTAGAATAAACTTGAATTAGATAAAAAGTTAATTTGCAGCCAAGATTAAAAGAGAAGCCGGAAGCTTCAAGCGCATGCAAATTGTGCTGGTTAACTTTGAACCATGGCTCATCAATAATTTTTGCAACGTCGCGTCTCTGCTCTACTCTTTCAGCTCGATGGTCAACTGACTACGGAACTCGCTACGGATGCCGCTCATCAGTTTCCGGCTAATGAGGAGCCGAACGTGCTGGGACATGGCCCGGACTTTGACGACAAGTTGGCCAACTTCAAATGGCTGTGCAACTTTGATGATGTGAGTGCCGCGCGGATGCCCTTTCAGTCTAACAATCTAACCAACTCGCTGCCATTTTGATTGACCAAGTGCCAGCTGAGCTAACCCCCTCCCAGATTCCCCTCGCAGTGCAACAGGCCAGCGCTGCGAAGGCCAAAAAAGGCGAGCTAAACACAACCTTCTTATTTATTATTATTTTTGCCATTTAATTTACATTTATTCAACTCTTTGGTTTATTGCTATTGCCAGATACATTTGTGTATCTGTCAGATACTATCTTCAGCCAGCTAGCTTCATATTTGCTGTGTGTGCCCAAACTATTTGCGAGTGCGTGCTGTAAATGGCCAAAACGCCGAGCAATGCAAAACGTGGCAACAATTGCCAAATAGCCGTAATACAAATAGGCACGAAAACGACAGCATAACAAAATAACAACAGCCCCAACAAACTAAATCAAGGTCGATTTTATTATTAACCAAAACCAAAAGAAACAGAGAGAGGGAAAGAGAAAGAGAGAGAAAGAGAGAAACCCGTGCAGATAAACCTTGCAAAAGAAGACGCTGCATTTCTCTGCCTTGCTCTATATGAAATGATATATACCTACAGTTAGATAGATTTTGATTATGATAGTTATGTTTTTAAATTGTTAACTCTTTTACGAGTTTAACTGTAGACAATAAAAAGAAGATTCGTCGCATGCTTCAAACCAGCTGCTCGGTTCTAGGCGTGATTAGTCCTTGTCTCTTGCCCTTGGTTTCGATTTGAACCTTTCCTTGTCGCATTGGTTTCTTTCCAATTTAAAAATGTATACAGTTCAGTTCAGGTTTCATTTGATTTGATTTATACTTAGATTGGCTGCATAAGTAAGATACTCGAAAAGCCGAGGGTTCGAACCGGTGAAGCTTAAAAGCGTGGCTTCAGATATCAAGTTTAAGATCTTAGATCTGTTTTATTTAAAAAGTAAATTGTTTTAAATTTAATAATATTATTTTTATTAGCATATTATTTTGGGTTAAACTAACTAGCTGTCGCCTTGCCAGGGACTCGAACGCGCAGTTGAACGATTCTAGCACGAAAGGGTGTACGAGCTTCGTGGGGCGTCTAAAAACAATTTGAAGACATTTGCTTGTTAATGAACATTTAATTCATTTGCTGTATTTGCGTAATTGAGACTTTGGCCATTTAAATTTGGCGCGTGGCCAGCGAAGCAAAAGCGTTTGCCCCTGCAATCTTCGTGTTTGTATTGTTTTTTTCAATTCAAAATGCATTCGATGTTTGGCTTGGCCATGCAATACCATAAAAAACTAACGAGCCTTTGATCATTTCTCTGACACAGGCGCCAAGTCATTTGAAGTTCAATCCGTATATACGACGTGGCTATCGCACATTCCTATCCAACAAGCTGTGCCTGCAGAGCATTTTCTGGTGGACTAATGAGACGGTGAGTTAAATTCCTAAATTCCTTGCAAAAGCTCTACAAAGAATAAAAGGCTCAATGAACGTAAGGTGGGTGAGCTTTAGGTGCACTTTGAGCTTTAAGTGAGCTTATTGCTGGTTGCTTATATATTAAAGCTTTTTTGTGTGTGTCTGTTCTTTCAGGCTTGTTTCTTTTATATAGTCCAATATCTTATTTGTTTTTAGTTACTTGATCGAGCTTTAAGAAAGCTTCAGAGCGTATAGCTAAAAGTATTAAAGCTTTAATATTCTACCCACCTTATTTTAAATAGCTTTTTGCATATTTCTAAATTTCAGCCATTTGCTGGAGCTCTAAGCCTTAACAACTATACCAACAGAGCTTTAATATACTATCAATAATGTTGAAGCAGGTTTTAATGTGTTTTATTGTAAATTATAACTATTTATGGAAGCTTTAAGCAGTAAAGGAATTTTTGGCATGGCCAAGCTAAATGTTAGCATATAGAACTTATCTTCTTATTATTAATTTACTTTTCAATTCGCCAACAGATCAATATCTGGAGTCATTTGGCTGGTTGCATTCTGTTCATCGGGCTGACAATCTTCGACCTGCAATTTCTGCGCCAGCATGCAGAGTTTACTGATCAGGTGCTTGTGGTCTGTTTGCTGGTCTGCTTCTGTCTGTGCATGCTGATGTCGGCCATATATCATATATTCTCCTGCAAGTCGGAGGAGCATTACGAGCTCTTTCTATCTGTGGATTTTCTGGGCATATCCCTCTCGCTGGTGGCCATCTACATAAGTGGCATGTACTATGCCTTCTGGTGCCATACGGTATGTAGTTGCCCGTTCATGATTGTATATCTCAACTCAATGTATTCGTCTTTAGTTTCTGCGCACAATATACTCTACCATTGCGCTGGGCATGTTTGGCCTGGCCATTGCCGTGCAGATACCCCAGCTGAATGTCTCCATGAATGGCAAGGTGGCTGTGCTCCTGCTGTGGTCCGCATATGGCATACTGCCGCTGGGCCACTGGGCGGTGGCCATGGGCGGGCTGGAGAACGAGCTGGTCGGCCTGATGGTGCCGCGGATTGTGGTCATGTATCTGCTGTGCCTGGTGGCCTTTGTGTTCTATGCCGCCAAAATACCCGAGCGTTGGCTCACCGGCAAAGTGGACTTTGTCGGCCACTCGCACAACTGGTGGCATCTGATCATTGTGGCCGCCTTTTACCACTGGCACAATACGGGCCTCGTCTATGCCGAGTACCGTCTCAACAATGGCTGCAGCGCTGGCCCGGTTCTATCCTGAGTTTCCACTCTGTGGACTGGTAATGTCCATTGTAAATAGTCTAGATGCACTAAGTTTTAACTAATATTTAGTTGTAGCTGTTGAGAGATATATTGTTAATTTATACACTTACACACACACACACACACAAACACACACAGACATATACACATAGACTAATGCGTGTGTGTAATAAGGGTTTCCAGTTAGTGTACTTATTACAATAATCGAGTGAACTGTGAAGTTGGTTTTTTATTAATGGCCATGAAGAAACGTGAATCTGGTTGAAACTATTTTATATACACTTACAATTTGTTAATGCAAATATATTAAAGTACAAAAAAGTTATAAATAATTGGTGGATAAGGCTCTGTTCACGATGTATTCAAACACGTCGGGCGCAACCTTCTTTTTTTCTATATAATTTTGTACCCAAGTCGTAAACCAATGCTAAGCCATAAAGTTTCGTGCAGTACCTACTATGATTGGACGAAGGTTCTTGTATTTGCTGGGCTAGGTGTATATAACTAAGTAGATTTGTGTCTCGACTGTAATACTAAACTAAACGAAACTTTGTTTTTCCAAATCATAGGGTGTGTGTATTCGCTAGGCAGCTAGGTGTGTGTCTTCGCTAGGTCTTCTGCTAGCGATTAGCACAGTCTTAGTCTTGTTTTTGAAAATTTACCGTTAAATTATGTTAACTAGCCTTTGACTCGCGAAAAATGATTAAAATATTTTGAAATTTTTCTCACAACTAAACTTTTACCCTAACCTAGGCGTAGTTGCTGTTCATAATAAACACTTTGGGCCAATCGATGGGCAGGGCATCGCACAAATTACATTTAAAATTCAAATATTCATAAGTAAATTCATGACAAGTCGCCGCTGCACGTCTTGTGAAGCACTGCGCAACGTTCTTGTTGTTGTTGTTGCTGTTGTTGTTGTTGTTGTTGTTGCCAAACAAGATGGCGACTGGCGAATGGGCGCCCAGTTGGTGGGGTAGACAGCAAAGCGGGGTTACTCCACAAAGACTTGAGTTAATTATTCATGGAATGTCGCTGCCAGCAGTTGAGCAACAACACGAACAACAACAGCAACAACAACAACAACAGAAGGCAAGTGAAGCACTGTGGGCGCCCTGTAGTAGGAGCGACCCTTTTTAATATTTATGAACACAACCGATTCTCTAATTATAATTAGGAATTGAAAAGTTAGCACAAAAGGACATCCACAGCAACAACAATAACAGCAACAAGGACAACAAAGCACAAAGCGCCAGGCACGCAACAAAAGTTTGTGTGCACTGAATCATAATTAAAGGGGTGTGTGGGTGTGCTTTTTGGCTGGTAGTTACGCTGCTGGCGGGGGCGGTGTGCGGGTCGGGGTACGCACAATGTTGGGGGTTGCCGTTCTGTTATTGTTCATAGCAACAGCAACAGCAGCAGCAACAGCAACAAAATGGCGAACCGAATGCTATTTTAATGGCTGGCACTTGAGATTTTCGCTAGAGTTTTCAAGATTTTTTGGTTTCAAGAAAATGTTTGGTTATTCAAGAATTTATCAATATGTAGTTTACTTACATTTTTTTTCTCATTACATAAAATTCTGTTTAAACTTTACGCGACAGACTTTGTGTATGGCAATTTGAGAAGAGTGAACAAAGAAAATACAAACATTTACTCAGACGGGTTAAAAGAAATAAATAAAAATATTGCATTGTTCTTTTGGTAAGATTGCATTATAAGAACTTTAAGTGCGAGAATGTGCGAGTTTGCCAGACGATAAATATTCTGTTATAGAATGGAAAAAAAGAGAATATTTTATCCAAGGACTCAATATATTATATTTTATGTAAAACTCTTGTTTAACATTATTAAAAAATAATTGAAATCTCACTTTTTTTTTTTAAATTTCTATAAATAAAACTAATTGACCTGATTGACCTGGCCGATTGGTGATTAAAGCAAAGGAGCTACCCGTGTGGAAAATCGCGAAAAACGTCAAGACCGGGGACTATATGTATGCATGTATGCTTGCATGTATGTATGCATGTATGAATATATGCATGTATGCATGTATGCATGTATGTATGCATGTATGAATATATGTATGTAGAAATGTGTGGATGTATGTATGTATGCATACACGCATATGTACATATATATGAATGTATAAAGTTATGTGTGCATTTATGTATTAATGTATGCATGCATGTATATAAACGCATATGTATGTAAATATATATTTATATATGTTTACGTAAGCTTGATAAAAACAATTTTTAGCCCCTGAATCCATTGAAAATGTATACAGAGGATATAATGCAGGATCCATAGCCGACTCGATCTAGCCATATCTTTCTGTCTGTCTGTCCTTTCGTATTTATGAACGCGAGGATTGGAGAAATTTTGAACGTAACGCGCGCTCAGAACGAATTTGTTTCCGATAATCGATAGCTTGGCTCGTTTTCAAACAATCGATAAAAATCGATATCACTCGATTTATCGATTCGGCTTTTTGAGCAAATCTCTTAGGTTTTAAGAGCTAGAGTAACCAAATTTGACATGTAGCTTCTAGAATAGTAAATGCATATCAAGTATCTTTCATTTTATAGCTGTCGCTAGCCCCTGCCCCCGTCGGGAACTATCTACTAGATGCTCATCATGAGTGCTTCCCATAGCTGCTAACTAAACAGCAACTAGAATCCTAGTTGAAGCCTTTGTTTACAGCTGCTGTGAAGGCTTCTTGTCTCTTTGATACGCTCAGCTTACATGGCACTTCAGTCAGGCGTAGTTCCAAGCGCAGAAAATCGTTTGCCCTACCTCTATTATAATATTTATTTGTACTCGAAGCGTGCTCTATGACAAACAAATAGGAGAGCTACCCCGAGGCAATTTGAATATGCGCGCATCGCTTCAGCTGCCTCTCTGTTTGGCAGCTCCTTAATCCCATGCTTGGAGCTGGAGCACGGCGCAGCCACATCCACAATTTCACATCTAATTACGTTGCATGCAGCGCGGCAACAACTCAGTGACGTAATGAGGCAGCTCACGAGTCAATTTGCTCGCCGTCATGCCTCAATTGTGGACCAAAATTGAAAAAAAATAAAAAAAATATATACATTTTTTTTTTGATCATATTTTGGTTGAAACAATTGAGCGACACGCGTTGCCTGCCAGCGCGTGAAATTGCTGTCAATTAAGTGGCAGGGCCAGCTAATACTTTCCACGGCAAATAAGAATTTGACTGCAGCTTGTGGCACAACCTGCCAGCAGCAGCGGCAGCGGCAGCAACTTCAAGTGCAATCGTTGCTGCTTGCTGTGGCTCAGTTTTCCATAGATTATATTAGACAGATGCCCGCCTCAACTGGCCAGCTATAAATAGAGGCCGCCTCGACTGACAGTTAAGCAAATGAACCCATAAGTCAAATCGAACAGCCGCTCGACTGCGACTGCTGGGAATGCTGCTGCTGTTTTTTAGGGCTTAAGTGGGCTTAGCTCGAGCGACAAATGGCGCGACGTTGTCGGCGCTGGAGCAGTTTTTAGTTTCTATGTTGCATACGCAACGTGCAACATGCAGCATGCAGCATGCAGCATGCACATGGGCTTAACTGGGCTTAGCTCGCGCTGCTGCAACTATTTTCGGATACATTTTGTTGCATTGCACAGTTGCAGTTCATAATTTGACTTTGTCGCGGCATTTTATGCGCTTTTAATTGGTTTTTGCCCAACTCAAAAAATGCCTCAAGTTGTGTGCTTGGTAGGCAAGGGGAAGGGGGGTTGTTCTGGGTATCTGTGATTCTTTTCACTTTCATTCAGTTGCGCCATTAAGTTAATGTCCTTGCCACTGGCTGGGAAATTAAAGTGCTTTCTTAACATTTACATAGAACATTTAGCAAACATATCGCTGGCAAGTAACTTCATTTATTTTGTGCCTGCCACAGGGTGTGCGTGTGTGTGTGGCAGGGTGCATGCTGTGTGCCACATTGAAGAACAGGCCGAAACGCTTTGCCAGTTGAGCGCAATATCCATAAAATGCGCAGATAACCATAAGTCCTGTTTAAGTCGCATGTTTTTGGACGCACGCAGCAAGAGGGTGCGGCGGAGGGGGGGGGGGGGGGGTTGGTGTGTTACGTATGTGGCTGGCAGCGTGTGGCAAGTGCAGGACATTGTCGCAGCTTTCTCTCGCTGCCGTTGCCTCATCTACATAACAATAAAATAAAAGGGGCCGCTGTCGTACTTTTTTCTCGCTTCTTTTGCTTTTGCTGCTGCTGCCAAACATTAACCTAATTTTATATACATTTAATTTTATTTTATTTAATTTTAACACACACACACACAGATACCCACCCTTTGGGTCGTTCGTATGTGCGTGTTGTGTGTGTGAGGCAGCTCAATGATTTTGGCTATTATTACCAAATTTTGGGTCTTATCATATATTTTGCTGTTCCTCATGAAATTGACATTGCTTTCAGCGATTCACAATAAAAGTGAACTTCGAATTTGGGTACTGGAATTTGTTCCCAATTCGTAATAAAAACTAAACCAATTTAAATGTTTATTATTTAAGCTTACGTTCTTTCTGATTAGTCCTTGAAATTGTTTAAGTAATTGGTGTTCATCACCCAAAAGTAAGTCCTTAGCTGGAACTAAAACATTTTAATTGCATTATTTACATTAATTTTTCAGCAGAAAGTATCTTTGAGTTTTATCATGTATGTATACATCTATGTATGTACGTATGTATATGTATTGGAAACTGAACGCTGTCTAAGTTTGCCTTGCCTTCCGCTGCAAATTATTCAAGCGCATTTATTTTTAATATATAAACCTTTATCCATTTTCAATATCTGCAGGGTGTAAGAAAGCGTTTCATTAAATATTGGCCTACTCTGTGATTCTCATAAGTTAAAATATGCCTTGCATGTTTTCATCTCTGCATTTAACCAACTTTTTCAATGGAAGATAGAAATTCAAATATATGCCGTTTTTTCACAAAAACCGCATGCTCAGGAGTCATTTTAAAATAATTTATTTTATTTTAGGCAAAGATAGCCTGGATTAGCACTCGAGGGAGAGTGAAGCGTCGGATCGCCAATTTTATTTCGGAGTGTAGTATTATAAGCACCTTCAAATTATTTGACAGTGCCTTAAAAACTCTCAACGTAGCGAGTTATACAACAAAAGAAGTACCTCATGCATATTGTATGACATTTTATGGCTTCTGATTCAGATAGAAAATCAAATAAAAATCTATTTAAACATGTTTAAGCATTTGCACTCTTTTGGGTTGA